TCATAAGAGGGAAAAATTGCTGGAGAAATGAATCGCGAAAGTTGCTTGTAATGCCATATCACGTCGGAGGTTGCTATGCAAATAGTGCTGGAAGCTTTGTTGAAATTCACATTAAGATTTTTCTAAGCTGACAGCTATGATTGCGTTTAGCTAGTAACCATTTACGATACATTCTGCTCTGCAAACTGATATTCAATTTTAAACTTATAACGTAATCTCAAATTTCGTCTTTAACGATTTTAAACGCAAAACTATGATGTGTCGCTGTCTTAGCGCACATACGTAGATTCTTCTGCGAGCTGTAAAAATGAGCGATTAATAAGAAAAAAAGAGGAGTGACTAGCTCTTTTCTAAAATAGTAATGGTGGGAGCAAAGTCCATTTGGCTGACGCGAAGCGAAGACTTTGCAGATATAATATGTGCACGGTTTCCAGAAATAGAACGTTAGGCATATTTTGAGTCATGTAAGTTATATTTGGTTCTGAAACGGGCTTTTGTAAATTGAATAATTGTAATCTATGGTTTGGAGATATATTACATTCACATATCACTTAGATTGCTTTTTTTCTGCAGAACCAGAGAAAGTGCTGGTCTTTGTAACCTATTTGCTATTCAAAGGTGAATGCAATATAAATGAAGTGCTTATTTGATTCGTAGATAGGCTTCTTTCTCTTGTTCCAGTAGGACTTTCAACTTCATCGAGAAAGGTAGTATCAATCACGCAGCAAGAGAAAAGTGTTCTCTTTCTTGACAATCACTCGTGAAAAGTGCTAAATTCGCTCAATAATCCAATATTTGTATGATGAACATGTAACAATTATATTTCTTAGTTCACCTTTTAATCTTCTGTAGCATTTAATGTTCAATAGACCAAGTTTCAACTTAAAGCAATGTCCAAGATGGAGTTTGAAAAACTTGATCTCGATGATCTGAGCTCTAAACTATGCACTCTACAATAATAACGACGAACTTCGAGATTTTGAGTGCAGTATTGGTATTGAGAGTTCATTGCGTGCAAGTAAATTCCTCAACTGGTCTATCTGTTCTCTAAACCCACAGCTCTTACCAACATCATAAAAAGTCTTATGTTGGTATAAAGTATTATTTGATATTGTCGTCCCTGGTCTTTGGACATGAAATGAGTCATTCTACAGCGAAATTTACCCAGCATCCCTTTCTCGCAGTGCAATTTCAATGTCTGAAAGTCACTTTTTATTCTGTGTGTCAGAAAGACAGTTGTGGAAACCTGTTCGAAGGTTTTTCAGTATTCAATAGGACCAGCAAAAAACCTCTCATTTCTTGAGAACCGTGTAAAATATTGCTTGTGTTAATGAAGGATGTGTTTGAATACTGATTGTACGGTACATACAATTCAAGTCTTACAGGGTACAATATAGGCATATCTTCAGTAATGATTTTAAAATAATAAAAACAGTATCAACGCCATGCACCCACCAGTCACTATTGTAGAAAGTTCTTTAAAATCATAAAGAATGCTACAATCGCTCATATCAAGGAAGCTTGAGCTTTGAAACGTTTTACATCTTCTTTGATTGGGAAAGATGGAATTTGGTTTAAGTTCGTCCACATCCGAGCCCGGTTCATCGAATGGCGACGGGACGACGTCGTCGGCTGAAGTCAGCACATTACCCACAACCCCGCAAATCACAGAATCTGCTCGAAATCCTTCCTTTCAGAGCTTTAACGTGAGTTCACGGCTGGCTTGTATAGACTTGTTTTCTATTTCATTCATTTTTTCAGGATGTCGTAGATTTAGTTTTTAATCCTTTACGATCTGTGATCAGCCAAAATCGGAGACGTTATACCGAGGACGGCTTTAATCTGGATTTAACATGTGCGTATTCAGCTTTAGCCACTTTGTTGGGGAAAATTTTCTACAATGAATTAATTTCAGATATTACCGATCGAATAATCGCTATGGGTTATCCAGCAAAAAGTATTGAGCGTCTTTATAGAAATAGTATGTGTCACACTGTAAAGTTCTTGGAGCGCAATCATGCTGGACATTATAAAGTGTTTAATTTGTAAGTGGATTTGGCTTCAATCCTTTTTGCTTTTGACATTCTTTATGTTGGGGTTCTTTTTTTCCCAGTTTTTGGTTATCAGTCTAGAAGACTTTCTGTCACAATACTGGAATAACCAAAATAAGTCTTTTAATCCATAACTCTAGTTTGCTCAACTTCAGGATTTTTTCAGACGGGGGAATTATTTTTACAAAGTGGAGAAATTTCATGGTCGAGTGGGTTTGTACCACATGAAGGATCATCATCCACCACGGCTTGATCTCATGGATCCCTTTTGCAAGGAAGTGAGAACATCTCTTTTTCATTTGCTAAACCGAAGAAAAAAA